AGGATTGATGTCAGGGAGCAGACACCATTTATAGATCTGAGATCATTTGAACATTATTGTTACGTTAGGACTCAGACTGCACATGTTAAAGTAGATGTGATGATCGGTTCATTGCTTCTTGTTTTAGGCTCGTGCAGGTTTTAGTTGCACTGAAGCCAGTTTATGACGCTTGAGCTGAACTAAAGTCAGTGTGTTGTTGGTGATGTAGGGTGCAGTCGCAGCCACACAGTTTATGTCTCTCTGACATCAGAACAGAAAAGCAGCAACAAGTCTCAGCTGACCTGCTGTCACTAACAAGAAGATCAAATTTTGTGTTTAACATCGTCCTCGTCTCTGACAGCTTCAAAGAAAACTCCTCCATCGTCCTGAAGAAAAGGATCAACTTCATCTAACATAAAGTTTGAGGATTTAAATGGAGGAAACATCTCTGCTGTGGCTGCTCTGTAAGTTCACTCTGTGTATTTCTGGAAGATTCAGATGATGAAATCTTTAAAAAAGCTCATAAAACACTCTGTAGTTTGTTTTCAGTGATGTTTGTCTGTAATATGAATCTTCTTCACATGTTTGAATCCAACAGTCTTCCTCCTTCCTGCTCTGATTCTGCTTCAGTCTTTCCTTACAATCAGCTCACAGAGATGCTGTGTCTGCTCTGCTCTCTGATCACTTCATTATACACCACAAACTCTGAACTAACCTGAGTTTAATTTCTCTTTAGTTCTGATCTCACTGCTGAGCTTCACCACAAACCAAGGTCAGTAAGTTCATCATATGGCGCTGTCATGCAGTTTAAAGTCATTAACATTGTTAGTTGTTACTGCAGCCAATGATGAATCAGGATCACAATGTGTTTGAATTAAGTCCTCGACTGCTTCATGCATCTGTAATCTGACAGTTATGAAATATTAATACAATGAGGTCACATGTTTTTCTCATTTCTGTATTTATTCATCCATTTTTACAGATAAAAAAGACGAACTAACCTGACAGATCATTAATTTTATGAACATTTCACGAAGGCTGTGAGACTAACAGTTCATTATTTAAAAAGCCCATTTACTGCCTTTAAAAAGTAACTAATTACACACAGAGATATGTTGTGTTGCAACTGTCAGCATAAAATCATGATGAAAAAACATAGATGATGACATGTTAGTGCAGACTTATGCAGACTTGGAGATCACGCTGTGATTTTTGTTGTGACTTTTAATAAGCTGAGGTGAAGTTAAATAAATGTGATGCTTAAAAAACCCTGAAATATTCCTGTGATTGTTATCTAGATGGTGTTGGTTGTTTGCAGTAGTGTTCTTAAGAATACTAATTCATTAAATTACTAATTAGATACAAATGCAACGTAATTACCTTAATGTATGCTTATGGTGATGTCTTCCTGTCATCCCATTAATGAATTGTAAAAGTCAGCAGGTCAATTAATTTTAGTAAAAATACACTAAATTCCTCACAGCTCGTCTGACTGTGAGTCCCAGCAGCTCTCAGTTCTTTAAGGATGACTTTGTGTCTCTGAGCTGTGAGGAGGGCGACAGCTCTGCTGGATGGACTCTGAGGAGAAACACGACAACAGACACCAAAGCAAAGTGTGGAGCTGGATTTGGAAAACCAGCTGGTTCTTCCTGTAACATCAGTTACATTGACACACTGGACAGTGGAGTTTACTGGTGTGAGTCCAATCAGAGTACCATCAGTAACATGGTTAACCTGACAGTCACTGGTAAGCTGAGTGTGTGGAGTTAGTGTTGATGAAGCTGTGTGTAAATGGATGAAATGCTGTAGTTTGTCTCTGTGTTGTTTCTGCTTTATTTCCACCAAATAATTTAACTTTTGCATGAAGTTCAGAGAGGAAACCACAACACTGGCACCGAGTCACAGGTGAGGAGGAAGAGGAGGGTTTTACTCTATATGAGAGTGACCTAACTCAGTCTTTGTCTGATATCAGCGAGCAGCACGAGGAAACGTTTCAGAACTCTGAACTAACCTGAGTTTAATTTCTCTTTAGTTCTG